GATCCACGTGCTTCTCTGCAGCAATCGGCTTTTCCCCATCTCTTAGATTAAAAACTGCTCTGCAACCTTTTTAATGTTAAGTGCCAGCAGTCTAGATCCACGCTGGTTTAGGTGGAAGCTATCGTTCCTGTATAGGGTCCCCCATCCCAAACGTTTCCCCAGTTCCTAATAAATCTAAACTCCTGCTCCCTACAACATCGTTTCATCCACGCATTGGGACGCTGACGCTCTACCTGGCCCTGCGCGCGGAACTGGAAGCATTTCTGAGAATGCCATCGTAAAGGTCCTGGATTTCAGTCTCTTTCCTAAATTTGGCCTCCAGGACATCTCTCCTACCCTTCCCTATGTCATTGGTACCTACATGTACCATGACTACCGGCTCCTCCCCAGCACGACACATAAGTCTATCTCGATGCCTCAAGAGATCTGCAACCTTCGCACCAGGCAGGCAAGTCACCATACCTGAATATGATACATGAGTGTGTATACTAGAATCATTTAATGTTTTTTCCCCTATAACCTTGCCAAGTGTCAGAAGTAATTCTGTGAATATCAGTACGACAATACTTAGCCTAGAATATTTCAGCAATTTCTTGGAGCTGCTTTTTCTGAAGCTGACATGGGGAGAAAGAATTCTTGATTTAGTCCTAAGAGAAATACAGGATCTGGTTCAAGAGGTGAATATAGGTGAACCACAAGATAATAGGATTAATGTAATTAAATTTAACACTGTTGTAGGGGGGAAAATGCCAAAGAAACCCATCACAGTAGAATTTAGCTTCAAAAAGGGGAACTACACAAAAATGAGGAAGCTGGTTAAATAGAAATAAAAAGGAACAGTCACAAGGATGAAATGCCTGCAACCTGCATGGAGGCTATTTAAAAACACCATAATAGTGGCTCAAACTAAATGCATACCCCAGCTCAAAAAAATTCAACAATGGTCAAAGAGCAGAGTAAAAGAAGCAGTTAGATTAAAAAATATAGCCTTTAAAAATTAGAAGCCCAGTCCGAGGAAAATAGAAACTGGTAAATCAAGTGTAAAACTATAATAGGGCAGGCCAAGAAGGAATTTGAAGAGCAACTAGTTAAGGACACAAAAACAAACAAACAAACAAACAAAAAACACAATTTGTTGTTAAAGGACATCAGAAGCAGGAAGCCTGCCAAACAGTCAGTGAGCGCTCAAGATGAGGCTTTTGCAGAGAAGCTAAATGAATTCTTTGCATCAGTCTTCACAGCAGAGGATATTGGAGAGAGTCAGACATCCGAGCCATTCTTTTTAGGAGACAAATCTGAGGAACTGTTCCAGATTGAAATTGATTAAACAAACAGTAATAAGGCACCAGGACCAGATGGTATTAACCCAAGAATTCTGAAGGAACTCGTACATTAAATTATAGAGCTACTAATTGTGGTATGTAACCTACTGATTAAATTAGCTTGTGTGCTAGAGGATAGGTAGCATAATGCCTGTTTTTAAAAAAGGCTCCAAAGCTGATCCTGGCAATTACAGGGTGGTAAGTCTACTTTATTACCAGGCAAATTAGTTTAAACTATAATAAAAATTATCAGATATAGTTGGGGAAAAGTCAGCATGGCTGACCTTTTTAAAGGGAAATCATGCTTCACCAACCTATTAGAATTCTTTGAATGAGTCAGCAAGCATGTGGATTATAGTGTACTTGTCAAAAGCTTTCTCAAAGTCCAAGCTCCCTCACTAAAGGTTCTTAAGCAAACTAAGCAGTCATGGGATAAGACAGAAGGTCCTCTCATAAATCAGCAACTGTTAAGTAAGCTAGGAAACAAAAGGGTAGGAATAAATATTTTCACAATGGAGAGATAAATAGCAGGGTCCCTCAACTATCTATACTCGGACCTGTGCTGTTCGACATACTCATAATTGATCTGGGAAAAAAGGATGACTAGTAAGGTGGCAAAATTTGCAGATGATACAAAAGTTACTCAAGAGAGATTAAAATTGGGAAAAGGCAGGGAAGGGCAATGAGAATGATTAGTGGTGTAGAGCAGCTTCCATTTGGAGAGATTAAAATGACTGGCACTGCTCAGCTAAGGAAAGAGGCAACTAAGAAGGGGGACTATGATAGAGGTCTAGAAAATCATAAATGGTATGGAGAAAGTAAGTGTTATTTATTCCTTCACCTAAAAGAAGAACTAGGTGTCACCTCATGAAATGAATAGGCAGTAGGTTTAAAACAAAAGGAAGTACTACTTCACACAACCTTGTGGAACTTGTTGCCATGGGATGTTGTGAAGGCCAAAAGCATAACTGGCTTAAAAAAAAAAATGATGTTCATGGAGGGCAGGTCCATCAATGGCTATTAGTCAAGACGGTCAGGGATGCAACCCTAAATCTTCAACTGCCAGAAGCTGTGACTAGACAACAGAGGATAGATCAGTCGACCACCCCATTCTGTTAATTCCCTCTGAAGCATCTGGCATTGGCCACTGTCAGAGATAAGACACTGGGCTAGGAGGACCATTGGTCTGACCCTGTATGGCCATTCTTATGTTTAGTTTTTGACAATGTTTATATAGTTAAAGTTCTTCAAAAAAGCAGGACCTTATGAAAAGCAAGTGTTGTTATAGCATGTCTTGATCTTAAATATGTAATTTGTATATTTAAATTCTGTTATGATTAATTGATTCTGTTATGTGGAAACCAAATTTTTCATACCCAACATGTGAAGCAACATGAAATTTAAAGGAATACTGTTGCATTCAGTTTAAAATTTGACTTAGCTTTAAAATTATTCTGTCTGATGACAAACATTCTTTGAATTCTAAATATAAAAAAAAAAAAGTGCTGTGTTGGTAAGATATTTAAAAAAAAAACCCACTATGTATAACCCAAGCATGTCATATAGCAGTCAGCAAATCCTATTCCCAAGAACACTGCCAACCTTATCAAAGCTACTGGTACATCTATACATTTACATACATACATACAAACACCCATCCTCCAGACACTCAAATACAGCTGTAAATAAAGTGGAGCTACAAGCCAACATTTTCAAACCTGAAAGCCTAAAGACATTTTAGATGTCTAGCCAACTCCTATGAAATTTTCAAATGTGGGTGCCTAAAGCCAGTGTCTTAAATCCACATTTTGACATTTAGATCAGTAGTGGACAACCTGTGGTCCACGGGTTGCATGCGGGCCACCAGACAGTTTGTTTACATTTGCACGGCTGCCCGCAGCTCCCAGTGGCCGGGGTTCGCTGTTCTCAGCCAATTGGAACTGTGGGAAGTGGTGCAGGCCATAGGGATGTGTTGGCCTCCACTTCCCACAGCTCCCATTGGCTGGGAACGGCGAACTGCGGCCACTGGGAGCTGCGGGGGGGCCGTGCAAATGTAAACAAACTGTCTCGTGGCCAGCCAGCGGATTACCCTGACGGGCTGCAGGTTGTCCACCACTGATTTAGATAGTGCTCTGAGTTTCAAAGGTGCTGAACACATGTAACTCGCACTGACTTCAATGGGAGCTGCAGGTGCACAGCACCATTGAAAATCAGATCACTTCTATCTAGATGTCTAAATATGGATTTAGGAGCCTAGCTTTAGGCCCTCGGGTTTGAAAATTTTGATTGTATTAATTTGTGTTCCCTAAGAAACCACAGAAATAATCATAAGCCATTCACCACTATCATAGAAGTTGACTATAATATGAATGTCCATATTTTAGGCATCTTCAATACATTTTAAAACTATAAAAATGCTTGCACTTCTTAGCTTTCTAACAAGTAGTTTATTCTAATCATTTTAAATAGAAGTATAGAACTATAGAACAGGGTATTAAGTGATTTAAAAATCACTAGAACATTAGCAAAGCAATTCAATATGTTTTACAATACTAACAAATCAAGTTTTTCTACAAATAAGATATACACAGAGTACTAATCTCAATATCTTTTCTTTTTAATTCTAATAAATACTGAAGGGACTGTTTGATAATTGGTTTGTTGATGTTCAGAAAAATAGTGGTCATAAATTTCTACCAGGAACAACTCTGGAAATAGAATATACAGCCAAGATTACTGACAATAACTGACGTAGGTCAAACATTTTACTTTCAAAGCACTGGAAACTTGAAGTTCAAAATAGAAGTTAATCAACATTAATACCTCAATTAAGCTCACTAACCAAACATTTTGAATGTCTTTTTGTAATCAGTTATATTGCAAAGCTATTTTTCAAAACAGTATATCAGCAGTGACTAGAACCAGTGATCCAAATGCACACAATAGCATACATATATTCATTGTGAAGGGTGTCCCAAATCAAAGCTTTTTCTGCTTCTCCACCTTAGCAGTTTGATGAAGTTAAGACTTGCACTGAAGATTTTATCATGCTGAAAAACCATTTTGTAGAAGGTATCAATAGGTAAATCTCCATTTGGATCTGCATATTTCAAGGTTGTCATTGGTGTATACAGGGTGTTGGTCTGATGGCGAAAAGGTGGATTTTCTGCAAGAATTATCTTTACTGTATGCTGTTAGAATGAGAAATGGGATCTTTAGAGAACATCATTTATCCAAATAGATGTGCAAGAATCAACAAACAGAATGACTGAGCAAAGATAGCTTTGTAAAATCCTTTAGGAAATTTGATCACATTTTAATCAGGCAGTTAATCCATTAAGATTTTCTTAGGATAATTTAGAAACCTCAAAAAACATGTTTCTCTTTGAGGTTAATCAACATAATTTTATTTTCCAACTTTATCAGAAAATATAGTGGAAGTTTATATTAAACAAAAGGAATATATTTACTATTTAGAACATTTGAATTTGAGATCAGTGATGAAATATGTGATTAGAAAACCAGAAATCTGTTTTTTACACCCACAGGGATTTTTCTCTAAAACTTGCTATGTGCAGCAATAAAACAAGGTAGGTAAGATGGTATCTTTTATTAAACCAACTTCTGTTGGTGGAAGGTACAAGCTTTTGAGCTACACAGACATGTATCAGTGACATTTTCAGAGCATCTTTAATACTAATATTGCATCTAGTGCCAACATCAGTCCTATTTCCGAGTACAATCATTTCCTGCTCTTGGAAGTAGTGGGCAGGCAGCATGGAGGTGATCAGTATGTTTGCTTGACCCTTTTATTCTTTAAAAAGCGTCATAATGATTAAATTCTGGCCCAAATGTCTCCAGTTTGGTATTATGAAACACAAACTTCAGTGGGGCTCCAAGGGTTAAGCATTTTGGTTTTTCTTTTTTATTCCAAATGTGTATTGAGGGAACTTCAGCACAGAGTGGTTTCTTGACTAAAGCTAAAAACTACTATGTAAACTACCAAAAAAGGCTCTAATACTAATTCCCAATTTGGTGCAAAAACAGTAAAAAAAAAAAAAAAAATTAAGCTAGCTGGCTCCAATCTACTGCAGCACTGAACTTGGGTCTCCTACCTTTATTCCTTTCCATCTCTTTGATAGCTTTGTATAGGGTTCTATATGTAAGGGGTTTGTGACTCCAATGATCACTGCTGGTTAGCAGTTCTGTGCTCATGCCCAAAGGCTTGTGTGTCTGTGTTCTTTAAACCTATACATAGTGTTGTATGATATGCAAAGCATGCTGAACAAATGACAAGTTCCTGTCTCAAAGACCTTAAAAGTCTAAAAACAAAAGAAAAGTAGAGTAAGCAAGTAGTGAGTAAAGCAGGAGCACCTCATGGAGCAGGTTTTCAGGATATTTTTGAGGGTCAAGGAGAAACTTCTCAAACATTAGTTGAGAATGTATGGAGGTGGTAAGAAAGAGGACATGAAATTAGATGTAGGCAAAGGAGAGAAAGGAGGTGGTCAGATAAGCATGGGTGAAGCAGAGAAAGTGCAGGGTGAGACCCAGGGAGCAGAGTTATCTTGGGCTCTTGTTTGGGTTTTCCCCATCCCATCTCTCTCTCACTCTCTCACACACACGCACCCACCCCTCTGACCCAAGTTTGGTTGTGCTTTGCACCCAAGCTACCTGGCTCATCTGGGGCTATACACTAAAGCCAGAGTGGTACTTTCACTCAGGCTGGTAAACTGCCCACTTTGCAGTGAAGACACACACTGAACCCCTCAAGTGCTGATAAATATCCAGTGCTTTCCCACAATTCCCTGTGTGTGACCCAAAGGACAGATAAGTTTTCCCACAATTCAGACTGGCTTAGTGTACTGCAGTGCTAAGAACCATGGGATATAATCCCAGAAGTTTTAGCCTCTCAAGTGGGTGAGTACAACGCTAACTCAACTCAAGAGTGGCTTTGTAGCATGGCCATTCACACCCAAGCTAGGCAAATTTGCATGTTGATCCACTGGGTAAATTCTGCAATGAAGACATATTATGCAGGTTGAAGTGAGGGCAGGAGTCTGATTCCGAGTTAGAAGCTCTTGCTTAGAAGAACTGTTTGTTCAAACTACAAGTGTTTGTCTAGGAAGCTGAAGACAGAGCTATATTTTCAACTTGGCAGGCAAAGAGCGAGTTACCTCAATTTCAATTGGAGTACCACACATATCCTTGTATGACACTCAATGCCTGTACTTTAACCCATCAACCTTTTACCCCCAATCAGGGATATTGCAGATTATGTATTCCTTATGCCACCTGATCTTAAACCAAGCTTTGCACCCTTGATAATCTGTACATTATTCCCTGATAACCAGAAAGTTCTATGCTCAAACTCTGTTCAATATTTTTTTTTCAACATCTTAATAAAAATTTTAAATTTGTAAAGTTCTAGCTGCACTCACTTATCTGGAAGAATTAATTGCATGCATCTAAGTTTTCCAACTGTATATTGCTGTAAATAAAAGCTACTAAAGTGCTTTATCATTCAGAAAGTGATTAAATGTGGAATTATTAAAAATAAAATATTAAATACAGAACAAGTCTGAATTCACAGATATGGTATCAAATGTGTGAATCAGGATGTTTCATATTTACCAGTTTACAAACAACATTAAATTCAGGAACCTGACACTATTTAAATCAAATACAAATTAAAAAAATATATTGTGTGGGATTTTCAAAAGTGCTCAGTGTTGGCCTAACTTTGCTCCCATTGAAGTCAGCGGTAAAGCTCTCATTAACTTCAGTGGGAGCAGTGCTATGTCAATGCTGAGAGTGTTAAGAATCACACCCTATAGGTCTAAGGTAAGACACAAACAAAATCACTGGGACTCCATGTAGGTTTCCAGATCCCGCACAGGCAGATCCTTATGCCAAGGCAGAGTCTTACTGAAGTGAATATGGCTGTGTAAATGCATACAAATCTGTGTGCACAAAACCAGTTGCAGGATCAGGGCCTTAGCTAGTATTTCGTATATTGGAGGTGGACTGTGTCTCTGACCTTCACTAATGCTGCTCGTAAACATTTAGAATCCATTTCTGCTCTTAGATTCCAAGATGCCCTCAATCACACACTGTCATTTTTAACTTAGGGTTGATCTGAAGGCTGCAAACTTTCCTGTATTTCCACCTCTCCACAGTGATTCAGGCCTTTGTAACCTCAAGCATTCATTTACCCTAGAGTACTACTCTGGCCTATTTTTGAAGAGCATGTCAGCTGGCACAATGCAACAGCTTAAATTTGAGATGCAAGTCTATAAGACTGATGTTCCATACTCTATGTTGTCTACCTATTTGCTTCTAGAAGCAGTTCATGGTGTTGGTTGTGGTCTGTAAACCCGCAAATATCAGAGATTGCCTCCAGCTATGTTCTGCTGTGACCTGCTGGTGCATTTCTGTTGTTGGTTCCTGGGATCGTCTGTTGGACTTCACATGGGTGTAGGGGTTTGCACTAGTGGAATCTGAGCAAGAGAGGGGCCATAAACAATGGTAGTAACCCATCTAGATTTCTGGTGACCATGCACATTAGTGTCAATCTGACTTCACTGGGTAGTTAGATCACATTGCAACTATCCACTCAATGGTATTACAGATTAAAAGTCACAGTTGCCTTTTAAAACTGGGAGAACTTCATGTTCTTTCTAAATTCTAGATCCAGTAATTTCTTGAGGTTGTGCTTAATGAAGTCTAGTGGGTCGACAACCAAACAGATCATTCTAAGACTGCACAAAATAATTTGACTAATTACCTCTGCTATGTCCTCTGCACTCTGTCCCAGGCTTTGGAAAATCTGTTTGTAATTTTTAAGGTAAATATTAGTAAACATGTCAGCAGTTTCTTCATCAGCAGCCGAAAGATCCATTTTCATTCCATCTTCAAACACCTTTTTTTCAAATTCTGTGATCACTGGGCCTGGCTCAATCAGACTTAGCCTGTTACAAGAACAATAACATTGGTGATCTGTCCTCCTATATGGGAAATGTGTAACGCTATCCTTTATATAGGTAGTGAGTGGCTGCAAATAAATGAGCACTTGTTAAAGAATTTACTATTTAAAAAATGTTAAGGGGGAGATCCATACCACAGCTCTTGCCCTGAGCATCTCAGACAGGCACTGGGGGTTTCTGTGGGAGAAGAACACTGGCTGCACTGCTGAGGAGCAATGGAATTATCAGTCTATGACAAGTGGAAGCAGGAGACAAAGCCCCCTCAGCTGCTGGCTCACAGCTGTGGATCTCTGCAACAAGACTTAAATTATCATAAACCTCACCGCCTTCTGGACGAAGTGCTAGATGGATCTCCTTGCCATCTCTCCTACATAGTAATAATAGTAGAAGTATTTAAAAGAAAGAGAGCGATCTCTTTGGTTACCTCTTGGGTGTATATAATTCTGGAAGGCACTCTTATTCTGTGGTACCCACAAAGTACAGTATAAATGCTTAGGCAGAAAGTCCAGCTTCCCAGACTTATGCTGCTGTTGAGCTCGGTGGACCTACTGAGGAGCAGGATTTGCCCAGAAGTGCATAATAGTAAAGCTTAGAAATACTTAAGGTCCCTGCATCGGTTCCTTCTCCAGCTCCACTCTCAAGTTTTAAGTATGCCAAGTCCTTCCTGTTTACAACCGTAGTTATCTATTGAACAAGGTTTTTGTATAGCAGATTTCTGGCCAGTTCTGTGGCTGGGTTAGACTGTTAATGAATATCTGTACTTTGCCCCTTATTCCTAAGGGCTATACCACGCTACTGATTTTTAAGCAGAACTTCAAATTAAAACTTCTGCACAGTGCTGCCCCTGCTTACGTTATCACTGGTCACTAGCCAATTTCACATTTCTCCATGCAACCTTTTTCTTCTTCCTTCTTCCATGCTGCCTCCTAGGCCTCGAATGCCCTCTAACCCTCTATGCCACAAACATTTCTTATCTCCTTTAAACCCCTTCTCAGAGCCCACCTATTTACACATACAGTAATTCTCTAATACATTCTCATTAAAAACTAATAAAATTAAATTGTAAGTAATGATATACAAAAGTTATGAACTACCATGTAAACTACCTCACAATCTTATTTTGTGCATCCCTCCTGCTCACGCTCTATTCACTTAGACTGTAGGCATCTCCTCTTTCTGTCTTGCTTTGCTTGATTTCCATTGCAAACTCTTTGAGGCAAGGCCCACGTTTTTATTCACTATTGAAAGTGCTACATACCACTATGTTGTTATATAAATGTCTCCAATAATCATAATGAAAGTCATTATTGATCATTTTCCCTAATGTATCTGGGTACTACAGATTAGAGAACACATTCTCTTTGAGGTACACATATTACATGACCACATCCCAACAGTACTGTAGATGAGAGTCCAGATTTCCAGGGATGTATATGAAAGCTATACATACTCCTAGTCTGAATGCTGTAGGTCATATTTATTTTGTCATTTAAACATTTGTAGTACTTTGGTGGGGAGGGCAAGGGAACTTCTATAAGAAGGTTTCAGTGGCTTCTTGTGAATGTATAGCTTCAATTCAAGAGGAAAAATTCTTCATCCTCTTTCTCCGGCACAGTAGCCTGCAATATAATGGCTGTACTGCTACTACTAGCTCAAGATATATTTTAAAGTACAGTCTGATATGTAGCCCACACCTTTGGGTCAACACTTACTGAAGTTTAAACTTGAGTGCTTGTATGGCTAAACTTTCACAGAATCCTTCCACAGCAAATTTAGATGCAGCATAAACATCATTGAACAAAATACCTGAAGGCAAAAACAAAATTGTTACAGATCATGTTAAGAGTTTTTGAGTGGCTTATATTTCCTAAAAAAATGTATAAGCTGTTTGTGGTTATGAGAGCATGAAAAAAAATCATCATGATTTATGTTGGGCTAATTCAAGTTATGAAGATGTTAAAAACACTCCTACTAAATGCACTGGGGTGACCAAACCGTTTTTTTTGGGGGGGAGGGGGTGGGGGGGATGCCTGCTGAGCAGTGATTGTCTCCTTTGCACCCTGGCTATTATGATCCCTAGGTGCCATTGGCAACTGGCGCAGGTTAGAACAGCCTTCGAGCTGTTCCTTGGCCATAGCTGAGACTCTCGCACATGGTATTTATGTTAGATATTTTGTGGTCTAATACAGCGATCTATATGTGTAATACAATCTATCATTTGGCATGTCAGCTGTGTTGCAATGCATCTAAGATATATAAGATTTAAAAGATTTGGTTTTAAACTTCTTGATGACTCGGAGGAGGCAATATACAACCCTCTAAGACGGATGGTGAGCATCATGTTGCTCATTAGCAACTCTTAGTAGCCAAGGTCTTGACATTACAACTGCCCACTCACATGAATAATCCATAGGTGAGAGGCCCAGTAAAGTTATTGAGACAACCTATACAAGTAAGATTATGTAGGGTGGAGCACCAAATTAAAAGCAACACTATCTGGCTCTAAAGTGAGGTTCATTTGATGGCTGCCCTTGGGAGTTAGTGGCAACACCAGGATACCTAGTAAAAGGGAAAGCCTTTCAGAAAGGAAATACTGATTTGACAGTCTGGGATATGGAGGACTTGGAGGACTCCAATGGAAGTGGGAAAGGACCCACTGATCAAACAATCAGAGAGTATTTCAGTGTGGAACTGTTGATTCCATCTTCTTGTTCTGTTTTTTTTGGGGGGGGGGCAGAGAGAGAGCGAGCAGTATTGGAAGACCAACTTTGTATATACTGCTTGGAATACTTTCCTGTGTCAAATATGTGAATTACTAACAGACTGCATATGTACTAAATCTTTTTAAGGCAGAGCTTTTTATAAAGCTAGTTTCACAAAATATCTGTGCATAAAAAAGTGTATAAAAATGTGTTGGTCTTTCCTCCATAGTCCCTTCAAGCGAGACACAGAGACAAGTTTCCTATGAACTTACTTTGTGAAAAGAGCAAAATGCTACTTTCCAGAAAACTCAAACATAGTTGTTATGGTCCTAAATCTGTCAGCCTTACTCACAAGCAGTAGTACTTTACTCTGCAAGTTGTCCCATTAAAATTAATGAGAGTACTGACAATGTATTACTCAGCGTGAGTAAGAATGTAGAACTGAAGCCCATGTTTGTAAACTGGAAACAATAGCTTAATATACTAGATTGCTTACATTTTTCACTTCAGAAAAATGCAAGCTTCAAATTATGAATAATTAGTACATAATAATACTTTGCCTTGTATTCCCATGACACTACTTATTATAACTATATGTCCACTCTTCCTCTTCTTCATATCAGGTAAAATCTCCTTCAAGAGTCGAACCAATCCAAAGAAGTTTGTATCCATCACAGTTCTCATCTCATCTATGGTCTGGCATTCAATAGGTCCAATGAGCCCCATTCCAGCATTGCTAACTGTACAGATGCAAAACACAGTAGTGAGTAGTAACTGCAATAAACATTAACTTGGCACTTTCACTGGAAAACACATGGTGGTAAAAATGAGTGACTGGAATAAGGGATTAAAACACACAAGAGCAATTAGTTATTCAGCTTCTTACTGAAACCCTGAGATTACATTTGACATGGAATGTCTTTGCTTTTACTCTAATACATTTTAAAATATCTGCTATTTTGAAGTTTTTCTTGTTTATTTCTGATTTATGCCTTACTTTTTTTCTTTAAATCAGGAAAGGGGAAGGGGAAAAAATGAGCAAAAACTTCTCTATATTTGCTTATTCAGTATTAAGAATTAGGGGCCCAATCAAGTCAAACCGAGTCTCAGTTTACTTCACTGGGTATTGGATCAGGCCTTAGTATGTTTGTTTGATATTTTTGGTCTACTTTGTATTTAGCACCTCATAATGTCAGTTTCTTTTTTTTTTTTTAAATGAACTGGCATCGGTTGAGAACTTTGCCACTATGTGGTGGTCAAGAGAAGATTCCATTTGAGTGCTTGTGGTTTCAGAAATGCAGAATGGTCATGCCATAATATGAGCACTCCGTAGTAAGAAGTAGAATGTCAAATTGGAGCATAGTGCAATTTGCAGTAAATCATGTTAATTTGCACCTTGCTGTTCTGCTGCTCCTCCATCATCTCCCCCAAAAAGGCAGGCTCTACTTCCTCTTAGCCAAAATTTAAAAACTGAGGGTGTAGTTAGTTGCCATATTATGTTATATTTATTTTTACAAAATATATTACAGATAATTTACTAGTAAAGTATCAAATAAAATGAAACTATAACTTATTAGAAATTAACCATGTGCATTTGATGATGCATTAGTATCTCAATTATTTATTCACTTACTTGCTAATTCACAAAGGATCAGCCTATTGTTAGTGTAAATAAATAGGGGTCTACTGTGTTCAGAGGGTAGAGGTGGTCTTAGGTCTCAAGTGCAGGATGGAGAGTCAGGAGATCCAAGTTCTGTTCTCAACCTTGCCACAGACATATTGTGTGATTTTGTAGAAGTCATTTGATCTCTTTGTGCCTGAATTCAATTAATTAGTATTTGTAAAATGGCTTGAGAACCTTGAATGGAAGACTTTATACTGTACAAGTGTACATATATTTATACTTAAATCCATAAACATTTTTAGAAAGAATATTACTGAAACATCTCTGAAATATTTAAAAGGATCCTTAAATTAAATCTTGTATCCTGACTTTTCGTCCATCTTTCATTTGTGTTCATTACTTGCCTAGGATATCAATCCTTCTGTCAGGGATGCTACTGACGCATGTTTTAATAGACTCTTCACTGCAGACATCCAGTTGTTTAATTTCCAGGGTTTTACCCAAGGTTCTGCCTGCAGCTTCTGCAAGTTTGTCCTTCCTGGTCAGATTCCTCATGGTAGCATACACTGTAAAAAATCATAAATAAGTAACCAGAAATGTAACTGCAGAGAAAGCTTTTCCTTTGAGAATGACAGCAGACACAAGTTACAGTGCATACAACCTTTAAGTCCATATTTTAGTGCTTAGATATTTTGGTGATAGGGCCTTGATAACCTAAAACAGAGAGTATGCATTTCATTTTTTTTTTAATAGTGCTTCTAACTTTCTTAAATCAGATTTTGGGAAAGAGCAAATGGAGAAATAAACCATTTATACAGCCATGTTCATAGCTATGTGTTTTTATTTCTATATCAGTTAGGGAAGATACGGTAGAAAAACTAAGCCAAAGATTTTCAATAACGGGTGCCAAAGTTAGACTCCTAAGTCCACATTTAGGCACCTAAATAATGAGTTAGAAGCCTATATTTAGGCACCCATTTTTGAAAATCACAGCCACTGTGTTTAGAAAAGCAGCCAGAATTTTACATGGAAGTGAAACAAATGATTCCTCAGACTGCAAAATTGTTGGATTTTGCAAGATATTTATCAATGTAGAGATCAGCTTTAATATTACTGTGGCCTAATTACTCTAACTTCCATAAATCCATACAATCATTCCCTGGTGAGTAAGACACTTGCTGAGAGTAAACCTGATCTGAATTGCTAAATTCATTGAGTCAGCTACACACAATTGCAGCAAATATTTCCATTTTGTAAGGCAGACAGTGGAACCAAGTTTTCCCTCTCCTCCCTTATGGGAGTAAATGCAAGGAAGAAATACTGAATCCTGCCTCTCAGAAACAAATTGCTAATTTAATTAAGGGCTCCCAGACACAATGTTTTTTCTCCTAAAATTAGCAATTGCATTTACACCAACAAGACTTTGCTAAGTGCCAAGTAAAGCTAGCTGCAGCTGTGAGGACTAACCTGTAAAAAGCTATGTTTATTTAGTGTGCTGCAAATGCATCATTGTTTTTTTAATTTAAAAAGTTTCCCTTTTTATACTACTGCCACATTTATGTTAATTTCAGATAAACATTTCATTTCAGTACAGTCACAGAATCACCATCTGTTCATAGAAATTAGTACATTTGATTGCATAATATCTTGCTGTCAGGAAAGGGAGAATTAATAAGAATGGAGGAGAAGAGAAGCTGAACAGAATTCAGGTACAGACTGATGAAAATCTATCCATCAGATGGTGAGACACCCAGCACTTAGTACAGTCCACTCTGTCACACCCCAAAATGAAAGTGACTAACAACATGGAAGATGCAGTACTGTGATATATTTAATTTCAGAAATATTACCTTTAAATCTTTTCTGTTCATCTCTGGCCATTTTTACAGCCAAGGCCAGGCCGATTCCTGAGGAGCAACCTGTGATGAGTACAGTTTTCTGAGCCATTATTTTCAGCTGGATGGCAGCAGATATAGTGGGAAGTCTTGCCACTCTGATGAACAATCACCTAAATATCATGGCTACAGCTGAGTATTACTGGCCCTTTATGCTTTATCTACAGCTTCACTGAGCCAACAAAATGCACACCTGGACACTGTATAATTAGGGGGATAATCTCCAACTGGACACTAATAAATAGCAGATGCTTCTGCATGGATACATAATCTGGATCAGAGGCTACTCTATGTACAGGAGAACTAGGCAGCTGCCAAGGGCAGTAGATTTGGCATGGCCACCCCTCTGTCAGGATGCAGGGGCAACTGGGCCAAATTTGAGTGGCACAGGGGACAGCACACTGACATTTTGCTTAGGGTGGAAGATTGTCTTGAACAGCCTCTGATATGGCTCATCAATGTACAGTATATCAACAGAAATAGTACATCCATTTTAAAATCTTGCAAAACATTTGTACCAAAAAGTTTTAAATAGTTGAATAATTAGGCCATGCACATCAGGGGAAGAAGGAGTCACCATCTCCCTCCTGTCATACTCTGCTGCCTCTATCACAGCCCCCATGGGGGAGTACCAATCATGCACAAGAGAGTGATGATTAGTGATCCATGCCGTCACAGATAAACTATCCACCTGTACTCTGCCCTCCACATTAGGGTACAAAGGGTGCACATGGAGCATAGCTCCCTGCTGTTCAGGCCTCCTGTGCCAGGGTACCGGCTGCCTCCCTGTTCGTTTGTGTAACAGGACAACACTTATCCAAATTATATTCAGATCTCTCCACAGCCACAGTGGTGGGGTCAGATTTTGTCCCTCAAAGAGGCACACAAGGATTTAACCACACAGTGCCAATTGACTACATATTATTGAACGTTTGCAACTAAAAGTCCTAATACAGGGGTTCTCAAACTGGGGGTTGGGACCCCTCAGGGGGTCACAAGGTTATTACATGGGGGGTCACGAGCTGTCAGCCTCTACCCCAAACCCTGCTTTGCATCCAGCATTTATAATGGTGTTAAATATATAAAAAAGTGTTTTTAATTTATAAGGGGGGGGGTCACTCTCAGAGTCTTGCTATGTGAAAGGGGTCGCCAGTACAAAAGTTTGAGAACTATTGTCCTAATAGAACATCTGGAAGAAGTGAAATGGAAAAAGGAGTGTGGCTTTGAAGAGAGACAGACAGAAAGATGACTGAACGCTCTTCAGAGTTTCCCCAATGTTCCACTTGCCTCCGCTCCCATCCAAAACATTTTATTGTTTTTCCCTATTTTTGCAGCTTTCCCTTGTTATTTGCAGTTTGCCTCCTTTCCCCATTAGAGTCTCCAATGCTTTTACCTTTCCTTTTTAATAAATTTTTATATTACTATTAATTTATAAGAAAACATTATACTCGTATGGAGAAAAGCTTAATTTAGTCACATATAGTCATAAATGTTAGTCTTTCACTAAAATATAAAGATTACTCATCTATAACCAGAGTTGTTTGAGATGGACTCTATTCACGCTGATGGGATGTGCTGACTGCATGCAGCTTAGTGGAACTTAAGCAATGATTGTTGGAACACTCCTCTGCCCCCTTTCTTACTCCCATCAATGTTTGCAAACATCCTGAGTGCAAAGTTATGAAAAGGGGCATAGAACTCCAACCACCTCAGTTCCTTCCACCACTCCGTCAGGTTCCATTTAGAAATTAGGACTCCAAGGAAGAGGGTAAGGTGGGTAGGGAAAGTGAATACGCACAGCAAATCTTAAAGAGTTCCAGTTACAGGCAAGTAACCTTCATTTCTTCCTCTAGTGAGAGACTTCTGCATATTCCCACTCATGAGATTACTGTTTGCTAAACTATCCCAAAAGGAAGGATATGGAGTCCTAATTAAACAGAGACCGCAGAACTGCCCTGCCAAATCTAGCATTTGATTTGGATACCAAATCTAGAGAATAATGTCTAGTGAAAGTATTAATAGAACCCAAGGTTGCTGCCTTACATATAGTAATAGCCATGTTTTACAAACTAATCAGGGATTGAGGAATTTAAAATGGAAAAGTTCATAAAATTAAACATCTCAAAATTACAGTAAATGTGGTGCATAAGTTGCAATATGGTGCACTGCATCACTTTCTTGTCCTTCAAATCACTGCAAAGCAATTTCCAATAAACTGAAGGCATTGGAATGTGAAGCGATGTTGACTTGTTCTTCATCAACATCACTTTCATTATGATTTTTTTTATCTCTGCTTTGAAAAATAGTTTGTGTCGCTGTCTTTTGTAAGACTGGCATTTGTAAAATTGAATCTGTAAGGTATTTCAATGAGTGGGGCATGTTTTTTAAAAAAATCCATAGATGCTGCTTTGGCTGCAGTGGAATGGGCTCTAATCCCTTGAGGGAGAGAGACTGGTGCTAAATTATAAACTTCGTGGATATATAATTAAACACATTTAGAAATTATTTGGCCCTTTTTTCTGCCTAATAAGGGAGAGTACACTAAGATTTTTTTTAAATGTACCAAAAAACTCTATCTAAAACCTACTGAAGTATTGGTCTGAAAGGCACTGAAGAGAAGGATTGGGTTGATGCATGGAGCATTTTCTGAATTGTCAACTGGACAGGATAGAATGGAAGGTAGGGAGCTCAGCTGGAGTGCCACACTTTCTTTTTATAACCTAGCCCTCAGAACATTCACAAATGGTGAGGAGAGGGGCACATTAGATATTTTAATTGCTAGTTCCACAGTCTAAACCACACCTGGCCAGCGTATCCCATGAGTGGAAATATGTAGAGGCCACTCAAAGAGCTATTAAGTGAATAGAGGGAGTGAATAAATAGCAATTAAGCAAATAAAGACACCATTTCAGAGGGAATTGTAAGAAAGGGAGTTCACAATGCACCAGGACTAACACAAGTAATTGTTGGGGTACTTGATTAGGGGAGTGATAGTCCCCCAATAGCAGCAGAATCAGATTGGGGAAGTAACTCTCTGATTAATTTCCCTCTATTCTCATCAGTGAAAGAAGAGAAGAGCCACACCCACAGGAAATGAAAATAAAGAGATATCCTAAGGGGGGAGGAAAGGAGGTTACAAGACTAGAGCTATAGTAGAATAGTTCTAAGAGTCACGCAGATGCAAGAGCCCTTTACGTTTTGCTTACTAAATAGGCTGAAAGAAGTCAGATGCCTTGAGATCTTTCTACCAAAACAAAACCTTTGACTAAGAAAAGAAGATCACACACAGTTTGGCTGAAAAGTTTGGATTAGATCTGAATTCCTCCAAAATTTGGAGACAGTTAGAGCTGGGAATTTGGTATGGGTCCACCCTTAATGTTACAATATGTCAATATACATGGTTAACAAATAGATAAATTACAATTCAGTAAGAAATGTTTGAGTGAGTCTCTTGCAACTTTAGAGCTACATAAAGTGATACTAACAGTTACACTTCTAAATAGCATTCAGGAAGACAATATACATAGAACAAGAATATTTTCCAAGAATCAATAATCCCATCTTATCTAATACAGTTTGGAAAAGTGCACTCAATGTTCCAGTATTGTTAATAACCATTTTATATAGGCATATAAAGAAACGGCTTGTTTAGATCCCTACTAAAGTGAAATTATGGTTTGGCACAAAGGCTTTCCCTACTTTCCAAACCAATAAAAATACATTTGCTAATGTAACAAGCAGAATAATTAGATTTTCAAACAAGGCACAATATGACAACATCTAAAATTAATGAGATAAATGTAATTATAATTTAACCTTGGCTATCAGGTTTGATCCTGACTTCACTAGGCAAGCCAAATGGTCAGATAAAAAAATTTCAGCTCACACTTATTTAGCTGATTCAGCTATTAGAAAAAAATGCTTCTGCTGTTCATGCACATTTATATTTAGCACATGTAAGGGGGGCAAGCTAGGCTTTATACAACCTACGATGATGAAATTCCAATGATGTGGTAATGTAACTCTAATTAAGGGCAGGTTAAGCTTTCGTCTGAAATCCTGGTTTGAGAGGTCAAATGTTTAAAGTTCTATTGTTTTAAAGGAGATCTGTCTGAAACTTGGCACACACATTATTAGCCTAGAGGCCTACTGGTTTGTTTAGAGAAAAAATGGTTTAAATCGTTTGAACTGTTTTTCAGTTATTACATTGGCCAAGACAGTTCTAATAGATTTTATTGTTATTCTGTAGGGAAACAAATGGCTTGATTTAAAAAAATGTAAAATGTAATTATTCCCAAAAGTAAACTAAGTCCTTTCGTTACATAAATCTTTCCAAACAGACAAAACAACCAGTTAAACATTATTTGGAGCTGTAGGAACATGTACCTTGTGTATTTAGGCCTTGTTTATGTGAGCAAAATCTATACATGTATTTCAGGAGCTGCCAGCAATGTGTAGTTGCACTGGCGGAGCAGGTTTTCCTGACACTTGTAAAAATGCCTAAGCTCTGAGTCTATATAGCAATTTCATCTGCACAATTGCTGAAATACAAGTGCTAGTTTTACTGGCTGAGATGCACCCTTAATGATTTCTAAATATGCACATTTGGGCCTTAATCCTTAACAGCATTATATTATTTTCTGCTCTTCCGAAATACTTTCATTGCTAATAGCTTTGCTGATGCACAGGGCCGCACGGGGGAGAGGGGGGCAAGTGGGGCAATTTGCCCCAGACCCGGCAGGGGCCCCCACAAGAAAATAGTATTCTATAATATTGCAACTTTTTGTATGGAAGGGACCTCCAAAATTGCTTTGCCCCAGGCCCCCTGAATTCTCTGAGTGGCCCTGCTGATGCATTTTTCAAGCAAGTACATTTTTAGCATGATTCACTGAGTGATTTAATACTTTAAAGCTTTGGAATTTCAACTGTGTAGATTCAGAATTGCATAGGGGATTCAGACTTCATGCCCTTAAGTCCACCTAGTTCCTGGATTTGTTGTATATGATCCTTACACATCTGTTTTTTTGTTTTGTTTTTTTAAACTTTAGAGACTGGGGCATAGTGAAAACATTTTTAAGGGCTAAGTTGAGTCAGATTTTGAGAAGCCAAAAACCAAATGACATAACTTCATGTATTAATTTACAATTTAAAATAAAACAACTTAAATACACAATTCTGCTTCCACTGAAGCACATGGAAACTTGTCCATGGACTTCAAAAAGAGCTGGATGAGGCCTTGAGTTTCTTTCCCCTAAAGATGAATGAGCTTATTTGTGGAAGTGAGACAAGCAAGATTTTGTTTAAAGTCTTGACGCAATATTATGCTCAACCATTATTCTAAATTGTCTTATATTTGACAGTTTGAAGAAAAGCCCCTTTTGTCAGCAACAGTACATTCGCACTACACGAAAGATAAAATGTTCTCAACAAAAACTGAGAATGAAGCAATGACTCAGGAACACTTTTAGGTAGAATTTAGATATAAAGAGTAAGGACTCTGATTTTAAAAATCCTAGTCACAAAGGACCACCCAAATTTATCCCTATAATTTAAGGAAACTTAAAAAAACAAAAAACAAAAAACCCCAAAAAGTTACTATACAAATTATTTCAAAACAATAATATTAAAACTAAAATTGGAAAAACAAGAGCATTGGGATTTACAATCAATGTAAATATATTTAACTATGTTCATCATTACTAAATTAAAATTTCCTTTTTGAATGCTATGCTGTGTTGCAACAATTCCACTTATGGTTTATTGCTTGTCAGAGGGTGATAGTCTTTCTTCACAATCTTTGTCCCTGAAATAGATACGTATGCTAATTAAAGTAGTATTTGTAGTCAGAATCTTACTTTCAACTTCCTTGTTTAATTTTCCGGATCAAAATCCATTTGTATTGAGGGTGGTCTTGCAGTAATATCTCTTATAGGTTTTTCTCTTAAATAAGCTCTCTCTTATGGAACTGATCAAACATTAAAGTAAACTAGTTACAGCAGGTTTGATGTCCACAGTCTCTTTCTCGCATCCTGCAGCCTGGCCTAGAAATGTTAATAGGTGTTGCTTTATAATAGTTTCTACCACAATAAGAGACAACTTCTCTGGAAATCCATAAATGCCAGCATTTAGATACATAATATAATACAAAAGACCCATAGACTAAAATATCTCAATATTTAATAATTAAATATATTTATATATAGTCTACAGGTATCCAACAGTTGCTCAGACTCCACACTGACTTATACAGTACTTTGATAAGAATACAAAAATGGTAATCTTGTAAATAAGGAAACAAATTAAGCAGAATGATTTGTGAAGAAATACTCATTTATAATCCTATTAAACTCATAAAGATTATACATTTTAAAGGAATAATGTCATTAGCAACATTACCGTAACTCTATCAAAATTGTAAGAATTTTAAAAATCAGATTTTTCTCCAGTTGTGCCATTTGTATTCTGCACTTCACTCAGCTTCAATAGTGAAAGTGAACTAGTCAGTTTCATTTGGTTTATAAATCTGTTTCACTTTCCATAAGGTAGTGTTAGCTCCTAGGAGTCACTACTAGGAATAGTTATGTTGTGCAAGACTTTAAAGGCACCAAAGTAAAGGCAAACAAAAACTTCACCTCAAAGAGTGTTGTATTCAAGTCCCCAGTATTGTAGGGGGAATTTTTAAAAAAAACACTATTTATTGAAATGCTAATAAAATATATGAATTATGAAATATTTCTATTGACACGGGGGAAATATCTGCTGTCATTTACACCAATATAAACTGGGAGTAGTTCCATTAAAGTTAGTGGAATTATTCTGGTACAACTGAGAGCAGAACTTGACATATTATGTTGTCTGAATGGTTTAAACAAAGTGTTAAATTTTGAGCTTGCGTTACTTGACAGTGTATCTTTAATTTAAAAATACCCCTGGGTGATCTATGAAATGGTCTCACTAAAATGTGATCCACATCCTGGATACATTTGGGAACTTGCTGCCATAAATAAAGACAAATGTTAATGACTCATCCCTATATAAACAGTCACAATTAAATTAAGAATTACTGTACCACAAACCAGATTCTTGATTCTCCTTTGAGTTTGTACCACATGATATTTGTACAGAAGCATTTTCAGACTGCCTCATTTCTTTGTTGATATATTTTAGCATTCCACTAAGTGTCTGGAAGTCATTACTGTCCGATGTCGCATCTTCATCTACAATGTATGTGAGGGGATCGAATGAAGATTCATTCAAACTGTTTGGTGGAGTATGAAGAAAATCCTTTTGACTCTCGGGAATCATTGAGGGCTTTAATGTAAGCATTTGTTTGAAGTCTTTTAACATTGTTTTTGATAGATCTAGAGAATCATCATCTTTAACACCTAGGTCACTAGCACTTATAGAACGACGCAGTTTTCTATGTTTGAAGTATGACGTATGAGAATTTCTGAAAGAATCTTGTTCTTGAACATCGAAGAGCATATGATCTGATAATACAAGCGGGATTGGTAGCTTCTTGATGCCTTCTGTTCTTTCATGCCCAGCAATTCTTGTTTGTAATCTCGTTACTTCAGATTCCTACAACGCAATAAAAACAAATATTTTGCATTTTTAAAAAATGCTAATGTCCATGTAAACGTGCAGGACTCACCCCTGCGGCGTCTCCTGCTGGTCGTCTCAGGGAATTAGCTCTTTTCCAGCCTGGGCGCCCTCTGAAGGCCAGTGTCCTGCTTGTTTCCGGCCCCATGTCCCTCCCGGACCCCGGTGCCCTTTTATCTGGGGTGCTGCCCCCTGGCAATAACCCCCACACTCTGCCTCTGGGTCTCCCATCTCTGGGGAACCCCCAACCCTCTAATCCCCACCTTGCCTCAGTCTGGGCTACTGCCAGTCATCACTAAGCCCCCGCTCCCTGGGGCGGACTGCAATGTAAAAGCCACTCATCATAGGCAACGGGGTTCGGACCTGCTGCCTTTGCCTGCCTCCCAGTACCTCTGTGGGCCTTGGACCAGGCCCTGCAGCCTGGGGAATTGCCAGCCTGGAGCTCCCCTGGCTCTCCCCAGCCCTGCTTCACTCCCAGGACCCTTTCTGCAGGCAGCCAGGCCCTGCTCCCTCCAAGACTAGAGAGAGAGCCTCCTGGGCCTCTGGCTCACAGCCTTTTTATACAGGCCAGCTGTGGCCTGATTAGGGCATGACCCAGCTGCCGCCACTTCCCTAATCAGCCCAGCTTAGCAGCTCTCAGCCACAACCTTCTCCCAGGCCTGACTTTCCCCTTTTCAGCTGGAGTGGGGGAGCTGCCCCACTAAAGTCCATTAGAACTATCCTCTGTATTCTGTGCCATGTGTAAATACATTTCCCACTATCTCCTTAATAACTGTGGAAACATCATAATCCTGCCTGTCACTCGATCCCATAACCTGGGCATCATCTTCGACTTGGAACTCTCTCTAGGTCTTCATGTCCGGCCTATGTCTAAATCTTGCCTATTCTTTCTGCATAGCATCTACGTGGCTAAAACGGTCATCCAGGTTCTCGCCTCATGTCTCAATTACTGCAATATCCTTTTCTCTGGCCTTGACAACTGCAGTCTTGCCCTGCTCATATCCATTCAGAATGCTGCCGCAAAGATAATTTTCTCATTCCATCATTAACACCTCCTCTTTGCATCCCCTTCTCTATTACATCAAACACTTTCAAGGCCCTTCGGGGCCTATCCCCACCCTACCTATCATCTCTCACTCACTATAGAGATGTCAAATTTTGCCTCTGACTGGCAAATGATGCCAGCCACCATCATCCACTGGTCACATTTTCAAACAAGCTCCTTCATGCTTTCTCCCATACTGCCCCTCATGCTTGTAAGGAGCTCCCCTGCAAACGTTGACGAAGCTATCTCATTATCTTTCTTCTAATCCCTCCTTAAAACTCTCCATTGCCATAATGCTGACAAAAAACCTGAATGGCTAGGCCACTAATGTGCTGAGACCACTGCCATTCATGCTGACCAATACTGTCTCATTTCCTTGTATTCCTCCAGCCAACAATCTGTCTGTAGATAGGTTTCAGAGTAACAGATTGTAAACTTTTCTGGGTCTTTTTAGTCTGTGTTTGTACAGTGCATAGCACAACTGGTCCTGGTTATGACTTGCACTCTTAGGCATTACTGTTATACAAACAATAAAATGATGTTTCTCCTGCAAAGTCTCTTAGTACCAACATCAGGGTCAATTTTTATTTGGTGCCATATCAGCAATATGATCAAAAGCATACAAAAGGGCAGAGTTACGATATTTCCAACATATCAATGCCTGGAATATCACGTGGAAGGCAATCTCACTGTAAGCGTATCTCATTAGAAAAGTGTGCTATCATTTTTCTGGCTTCAAAAACTCACTCTTTGAAAAAAATCAATTTCCAAAATGAAGGACATTAGAAAAAAATGGAGAATGATTGCCATCTTAAATTTCCAGAACAAGACATTCACACCAAGATGGCCCATTTGGGACATGCTATAAAACAGTGGGGAAAAAATGATACCCAAATTGGGGGGAGGGGAATTAACTGCCACCCACAGTCAGCACTTCCACGAAGGAAGCCCTCAGCTAGAGTTGGAGTGTACAAGAGGAGACAGAAGTAATGTTTGCCATAAAAACAGAAATTTTATTAGAGTTGACAATCCTCAGTGACATCAATAGTTCATCAATAAAATTTCTCAGAGAAAAAGATGACTACTGGGACTGAGGAACTCCATAATCTATCTAGCACAATGTGAATACTTGTGGAGAGAAAAGTCTGAAAAACTCGCATTTTTAAAAAGATATTATGGGCAGCAAAAAATCAGTATAAAAGATGGGTCTCTTGCCAGCTGTCACTGCAAAAATTATAATAAAGAAAATCAAAATCATAGGTTTGAGACAGTTGGGAAAATTAAGATGAGTATAGAAGTAGAATTTGAGAAGCAGTACCTCAAATGTCAAAGTTGTAACTAGTGGAGTGGGCAGTGTACTAGCAATAGGCATTAGCAGTAAAGTACCATCTTCTTTCTCAGGGTTTTACACTGCCATCCACCACTAGAGTATCTGAGTGCCTTCTACGTAAACTAGATTTAGCAACAGTTATGTCCTCAGTAGGCTTCATGGAGTCTCTGGCTTTCCTCCCTTACTGGGGAATGGGAACTCTACTTGGGGTAGGTTTTCTATTTCTTTCCTGCGAAGAGGAAAAGCAGATGATTGATGTTGTGAATGTCATTCTGCTTATGGCGGAAAAGCTACATCAAAAAGTAACTGGCATTATCTTTGAGAAATCATGGAGGATGGGTGAGGTTCCAGAGGACTGGCGAAGGACAAACATAACACCTATCTTTAAAAAGAAGAACAAAAAGGACTTGTGGAATTATAGATCGGTCAGCTTAACTTTGATACATGGAAAGATACCGGAACAAATTATTAACCAATCAGTTTGTGAGTATCTAGAGGATAATGGGGTTATAAGGAATAGCCAAGCATGGATTTGTCAAGACCAAATCATGCCAAACCACCCTAATTCCTTCTCTGACAGGGTTACTAGCCTAGTGGATAGGAGGCAAGCAGATAATACCCCTCTACCCCAATAGAACGCGACCCGATATAATACGAATTCGGATATAACGCGGTAAAGCAGCGGGGAGCCCCGGGCCCTTTAAAGCGCCACCCGAGCCCCGCTGGTTTACCGCATTATATCCAAATTCGTGTGGAGCCCGGGGCCCTTTAAATCACCGCACGAGCCCGGCTGCCGGGCGGTGATTTAAAGGCCCAGAGGCTCTGGCTGCTGCGGGGAGCCCCAGGCCCTTTAAATCCCTGCCCGAGCCCCACTGCTGGAGCTCTGGCGGTGATTTAAAGGGCCCGGGGCTCCCCGCAGCGGCAGGCGCACTGGGCCCTTTAAATCCCTGCCGGGGCTCCGGTAGCCAGGCTCAGGTGGTGATTTAAAGGGCCAGAGGCTCCAGCCGCTGCAGCTGGAGCACCAGGCCCTTTAAATCACCGCTGGGGAAGCCGGTCCAGTCCGGCATGGCTTACCGGCTCGAACCCGATATAACGTGGTCTCACCTATAAGGCGGTGAGATTTTTTGGCTCCCGAGGACTGCGTTATATCGGGGTAGAGGTTTATACTATATTTTGATTTTAGTATGCTTTTGACACAATCCATATGAAATTTTCATCTACAAACTAGGGAAACATGTTAGACAAAATTACTAGGTGGGTGCACAACTGGTTGAAAGACCATACTCAAAGAGTAGTTATCCATGATTTGCTGACAAGCTGGGTGGGGGATGGAAGGGTCCCTATCTAATAGGATCCTGCAGGAGTCAGTCCTGGGTCCAGTACTATTCAATATTTTCATTAATGATCTGATAACGGAGTGGAGAGCAGGCTTATAAAATTTGTGGATGACACCAAATTGGGAGGGTTTGTTAGCACTTTTGATAACAGGATTAGAATTCAAAACAACTTTAAACAAATTGATTTCAGGCTTGGTCCACACTGGGGCGGGGGATCGATCTAGGAAACGCAACTTCAGCTACGAGAATAATGTAGCTGAAGTCGACGTTTCCTAGATTGAATTAAGTTTACTTACTGCGGGTCCACGCGGCGTAGGCAAGCTCCCCCGTCGACAGCGCTTCCTCCTCTCGGCGAGCAGGAGTTCCACAGTCGACGGGGGAGCGCTTCTGGGATCGATTTATCGCGTCCAGATGAGACGCGATAAATCAATCCAGAAGATCTATCTCTACCCGCCAAATCAGGCGGCTAGTGTAGACCAAGCCTTAGACCAATTCTCCAACAAGATGAAATCCAATAAAGAAAAATGCAAAAGTACTACGCTTATGAGGGAAAAAAATGAAATGCACAACTACAAAATGGGGAATAACTGGCTAGGCAGTAGAACTGCTGAAAAGGATCTGGGGGGTTATACTAGATCACCAGATTGATATGAGTCAATGTGATGCATTTGCAAAAAGGGCTAACATTCTGGGGTATATTAACTGAAGTGTTGTATTTTCAGACATGGGAGGTAATTGTCCTACTCTTCTCGGCACTGGAAAGGCCTCAGCTGAAGTATTGTATCATATTGGGCAACACACTTCAGGAAAGATGGGGAAACAGTCCAGAGAAGAACAACAGAAACGATAAAAGATTTAGAAAACTTGACCGAAGAAGAAAGGTTAGAAAAGTTTAGTCTTGAGAAAAGAAGACTGAATGGAACCTGATAACAGTCTTCAAATATGTTAAGGGCTATTATAAAGAGGATGGTGATCAATTATTCTCCCTATCTACTGAAAGTAGGACAAAAAGAAATGGGCTTAATTTGCAGAAATGGAGATTTATATTAGATATTAGGAAAAACTTTCTAACTATAAGGGTAGTTAAGCTCTGGAAAAGAGTTCCAAGGGCTGTTGTGGAATTCCTGCCAAAGAAGGTTTTTAAGAACAGGTTGAACCAACACCTATCAGGAATGGTCTTGATTTAGTAGGTCCTGCCTCAGCACAGGGGGCCGTACTTGGTGATCTCTCAAGATCCCTTCCAGTCCTACATTTCTATGATTTCCTA